CGCCGCCGGCGACCCAGAATCGATCGACGTTGAACGATCGGACGTTGCGGCAGCGGCCGATCGTTCAAGGTTGAACGATCCCTGCGGTGTCAAAAACCAACGCTGGGGTCGGCACGACACGAACCTGCCGTATTTTTCTTTCAGGTGTGGAAGGTCCACAGGTAATTGGGCATGACAAAAACCGCCAACAGTACCGCTACGGGCTCCGTTACTTGGTGCACTTCCTGCCCCCCCTGGACAACGATCGCAACGTTTTCTCAATTTCATGTCCCGTCCAGTCCCCCGATCAAAAGGTTGAATGAGCCTTGGCCGACGGCGGGAAACATTGGATCGCGCGGCGCACCTCGCGGACGTTGAAATGGAGTGGCGCGGGGACGGACCGCGCGCGAGAGGTGCACTATACTTTTCGAGGGGCAGCGCAGGGTTTCTGACTCAGACCCCCCGACGTCATGATTTTGTCATGGCGTCGACCCCCAGAGGTCTCGACCCGTTCTCTGGGACCGGCTTCTCATCCCGAGTCGTTTTGTTGGCGGTCCCGGGGCCCTTGCAGGGGCCCCTCAAAGGCCGGACGTTGTGGCACACCTCCCCATCGTGACTTCTCCGCTTCTCCACGTCTCCACTGCTCGGGGAGGCGCTGCCCCGTCCTGTCCCCCCCCCGGTCCCCTCCAGCGCCTCCGCGCCTCCCTTCCCCCCCCCCGGGAGCCCCCCCCCCGTAGCCGAGGGGGGGGGGCAGGCGCGGCCACATGCGCGTGGCCCGGCGGGCAGGCCTGAGGAGCCCGCGCGCGCAGGTGCCTTGCCGAGAAACGAGGGCGCCGCGCGCGAAGTATACTCCAGATTTCGTAATAAAAGCGAGGGGGTTTGGACCCTCCAAGACAAGCCATTTCAGACCTCCCCCGTGGGAGAACCCTCCAAAACATCGTCCCCAGACCCCCCCAGGCCCTCCAAGATGGCCTGGAAGAGGCCCCCCCCCCGAAATGAGACCCCCTCCCTTTATTGCGAAATCTGGAGTATCCAGGCCCCCTCGAGGAATGGACAAAAGAAAGCACGACGGGCCGTTTGTCGCCATTTGAGGCCTCTGGGGGCCCTCGCCGGGCCCCGGCACCGTCCAACAGCGACTCGGGATGAAAAGCCGGTCCTTGGGAACTGGTCGAGACCTCGGGGGGTCGGCGCAAGGAAAGAATCACGACCTCGGGGGTCTGGGCGTGCACAGCAGGAGCATCGGGGGATCTTGGCCGCCCTGCAGTTCGAGGCTCGAGGCGAGGTAGGGGAGGACGAGTGTCGAGGAGGCGGACGACGGCGTCGCGCCTGCAGGGGGGGGGGGGAAAGGCAGAAGGGGCGGGCGTGCTCGGAGGGCTCACTCAGGAGGCCTCCTGCCTTCTGAGAGCAGGCTCCTGAGTCTTTTCTAGGTCTCCTACATGGGGTCGGAGAAGATGGGGTCGGAGGATCGCGCCGCATCGCCGATGCATCGCCGATGCGGCTCGATACGGAGCCCGATTTGCTTCACGCCGACGTCGCTGATGCATCGCCGGTGCATCGCCGATGCATCGCCGATGCATCGCCGATGCATCGCCGATGTATCGCCGATGCGGCGCGATCATCCGACCCCATCTACTCTGACCCCATCCAGGGGGCCTCCAGGGAAGAAATTGGCCCGACAGCAGGTCCGCTGCGATCTGGGAGCCCAGGGCGCCGAGGGAGTTTCCAAGATCGGCAAACGAGATCAAAAACACAGAGCTCAGAGAGCGGCGATGATCGGCGACGAGGCTGAGGCAGTCCGCACCAGCGTGGGGCTACTTGGGGCAACCGAAAGGCTCATCGTCTGGCGTGCGAGAGGCAGGAAGAAGACGAGGGCGGCCGCGCGATGGGGAGGAGGGGGAGGGCGCTCAGACGCGGAAAGGAGCTCCGCGACAAACGGGCCGGAACGACCATGCCCTGAGTGGGGTTTGCGTCAGGGGTGGACCTAAACGGTGTTTTGGCGACTTCGTGGGCCGTTTCGTTTCGATATCGTTTTGCAGCAAGGGCGAACTCAAGACAAAACGAGGGAAAACGAAAACAACACGAAAACGAAAAACACTGTTCAAGTCCAGCCCTGGCTTGCGTTCCAAGAACACAAGCTGCATATACGCAAATGTTCGGAGCTCCGCGCGGATCCTCAGGAGGGGAAAAAACACACACAGACACAATTAATCGCCGATTCCCCAGAAAAGATGGGAAACTATGGGAAATGGGGGGAATTCAAAAACCGAGAAATCATGCGAAAATGTTGGGGGATCCTGTTAATTGTGTCTATTTATTTGTGTGTCCCAGGGACCCGTCAAAGAAACCCGCACGTACCCGCAGCAGTCTACGTATGTTTGTTGAGTTTTCTGTCACTTCCTGATCGGGGAAACGTAAGACTCGAGTAAGCCGGAACTCGGGTCTGCCCGCGTTTTTTTCTGACGAGCGCGTCCTGGATGTTGACGGTCTGGCTTTCGTGGGGCGTTTGCAGCGGGAGCTCGCGCCAAATGTCACTCTGGGGCTCGTCATTTTCACGAAGGCCCCGCCAGGCCAGCCCGAGTGCCCCGTCACCGAGTCGCACGTCTCCCCGATGAGGGGAGCCAGTTTTATCTCCAGCGTCGTGAGCACAGCGCGCGGCTGGTCCCGGGTGCTCCGCTGCTTTTGGGGGTGGCCGCGTTCGCACCCTCCCCAGTGGCTCGCCTACGGAAGCGGCGCTCGGCGAAGCACCGATCTCGGGTACGGGGCCGCAAGGTCTGTGGCCCCATGCGTTGGAATAGCCACGCCGTTGGCGGTTTGGCGGGGCAACAGAGATGCGCCTTCTTTCCCCAGCGGGCTTGCAGTCAACCCGCATGTGAAGGGTGGGTAAACTTCCCAAGGGTGCCCTTGCATCCTTGCCTCCTCGGTCCATCCTTGACCGCTTTCGCTTGCCGCTCCCCGCTCGAACAGCTTCGAAATGGGCGTCCAAGGCCCTTGCATCCTTACCGCGCATCCGTATGATACGGGCTGACCGCAAGGGGAGCCAGTTTTATCTCCAGCGTCGTGAGCACAGCGCGCGGCTGGGCCCGGGTGCTCCGCTGCTTTTGGGGGTGGCTGGGGGGCCGTGTTCACACCTTTCCTGGGGTTCGCCAAAACAACAGCGGCCTTCGGGGAAGCACCGATCTCAGGCAAGGAGTCGAAAGGTCTGTGGCCCCTGTGCGTTGGAATAGCCACGACGTTGGAGATCTGGCGGAGCAACAGAAATGCGCCCTTCCCTAAGCAGACTTCTAGTCGGACGTTTGGGGTTCGTTCCTCCTCCGCCCTCCTCCTCCTCCTCCTCCTCCTCCTGATCCTCCTCCTCTGCTGCTCTCCTCCCTCCCTCTGAATTTATTCATTATGGCTGCCAGGCGGCGCTGAGGCTCCGGAGGGGACTGCCATGTGGGGGGTAATGGTCGTGGGTTTTACTTGGGTTTTACAGGTATCGCTCGGACGTGTGCATCCTTTCGGCGAGGACCATCGAGGGGTATTCTTGATCATCTGGCAAAGCCAAGCACGCACGAAGGCGAAACATACACGGGGAATGGACGTCCGAGCGATGGCAAGTTTAGGATCATTTTCAACACAGTTCTCAGTTTAACGTTTGGAGGCAGCCAAAGAGCCCCACGAGGATCCTTGGGGCCTGGAGGATTGCCAGAGCCCCCCCCCAAATGGGCTCAAGAACTTGTTTCTCGATCCGTGCGTGGAGGGCTTTTGGAGAAGCCCTGTCTTGCATCCCCAGTGGCCGACATTCCAGGCTTGTGGTGTGCCATCGATCGCGTGTAGTTGCGTGGCGAAGGCATGAGCCAAATCATTGGGTGATTCGTTTTTCCTGCCGCATCCTTCCCTCAGGGGGGGCCTCTGAGGTCGGCCCCTGAGATCGGCCTTCAGATCCTGAGTGATCGGTTCCCCAGACGGCGAACTTGTACAAATACCTTGTACACATATCGATGCAGCACTCTTGCCTGCCGTTCCCCCGCTGCGGGACGTGTCAGGGGGCCCGTGAGGAGTCTTTCGACTCGTAGTAGTTTCGAGGTGCGATCCGGCAACTTGGCCGCGCTCTCATGGCAATTATCCTGTTATCTCCCTCATCCCTCGTCTATCCTTCCTTGCCCCCGCTTCGTCTCTTCCTTTTCTCCCCCTGGTTACCCGCGGGTGGCGTGTGAGGACGGGACGAGACAGGAGGAGGAAGCAGGGGGAGCATGAGGACGACTCAGGGTAAGAGGAGGAGGAGGAGGAGGAGGAGGAAGAAAAGGAGGATACTATTGAATACCACGATGATGCTGATGATGATGCTTATAGTGATGATGCTGAGGAGGAGGATGACGATGATGATGCTGGTGCTGATGATGATGATGCTTAGGATGATGCTGGTGACGATGATGACGATGCTGGTGATGATGACGAGGATGATAATGATGGTGGTTGATGATGGTTGATGATGATGAGGATGATGAGGATGATGATGCTGATGCTGATTATGATAATGAGGAGGATGAGGATGATGATGGTGCTGATGCTGCTGATGATGATGAGGAGGAGGAAGAGGAGGAGGTGAGGCGGTGTTGGCTGGCGTTGTTTGGCGGATTGTGGTGGCTCTTCATCGACTTCACAGGCTTCCACACACGAATGTATACATACACATACGTCGATATACGTATGTACGTGTAGTGGTGTTTGTCGGTTGTCTTCGAACAAGGTTGCTGCAGGTCTCCAGAGACGGAGGTGACTTCGTTGTGTTTCAGTGGCTTCTCAATTTTGCAATCGACTCTCTGATTGGAGCACTTCTCCTGCTCTCGCCCGCCCGCGGTGGCTAGATGCGGCAAACATGAGCCCGACCTTTAGAACTGGTTGCAGTTCTGCCCTGTGATGAGTTGGCTCAGGGTCGCGCGACACCCCGGCACCACCCTCGTCTGCCAAACAGCGCCGTTGTTCCAGTTTTGCCGTGTACCTGCTTGGCGCGATGGCCACGACTATCATCCAAGCGAAGGCCTTAGCAAGCATCGGATCCAGGGGCTGCGACAGGCTGTGACCAGCCGCTCGCCATTTGCTTATTGTGAGTTCTTCCACAATGCTGCACATCCTCGTTCGCCTCTGCCTTCTCGTCTCTCCGCATCGTTTTGCCTCTCTCCGCCCTGCTCCGCCTCGCTCGGCCTCGCTTCTTCCTCCTTTATCCTCATCCCTCATCCACCATCTCTTCTCCCCCCTACCCCCGCGAGAAGGATCGGAAAGAGGAGGAGCAGACGGATACAGGAGCATGAGCATTATCGTATTGATTCATTGGTATAGTGTCCATTCCAGTATGCCTCGAGTAACCGACGCAACAGCGCCTTGAGTTCGACCGTGCACCGTGCCCCCCCTGCCGCCTGGCGGAGGGGGAGGAGGAGGAGCAGGAGCAGGGGCAGGGGCAGGGGCAGGGGGAGGAGGAGGCGGAGCAGGAGGAGGAGGAGGAGGATGAGGAGGAGGAGAAGGAGGAGGGCGAGGGGGACGGGGAGGAGGAGGAGGAGGAGGAGGAGGACGAGGAGAAGGAGGAAGAGGAGGAGGGAGGGAGGAGGAGGGCGAGGGGGAGGAGGAGGAGGAGGAGGAGGAGGGAGGAGGAGGAGGAGGAGGAGGAGGAGGAGGAGGCGGAGGCGGAGGCGGAGGAGGAGGAGGAGGAAGAAGAAGAAAACTAATAATAATAAGAAGAAGAATAATAAGACGAATACTAACAATAATGATAAGACGAATAATACTAATACTAACAATACAAATAAGAATACTACTCATAATATCAAGAAGAGTCAGACTAAGAATAAGGAGAAGAGGAGGAGGAGGAGGAGGAGAGCGAGGGGGAGAGGGAGGGGGAGGGGGAGGGGGAGGAGGAGGAGGAGGAGGAGGAGGGGGAGGAGGCGGAGGAGGAGGAGAAGAGGAGGAGGAGGAAGCGGATGATGATGATGATGATGATGATGATGATTGATGATGATGATGATGATGATGATGATGATGATGATGATGATGATGATGATGATGATGATGAGATGATGATGATGATGATGAGGAGGAGGAGGAGGAGGAGGAGGAGGAGGAGGAGGAGGGGCAGGAGGAGGAGGGGGAGGAGGAGGAGGAGGTGGGGGAGGGGGAGGAGGAGGGGGAGGAGCAGGAGTTTCGCCCCCTAGCCCATTGCTCCGACCGTGGCCCGACTGGGCAGCCCCGCTCGGTAATAAACTTGCGCCACTCCTCCAGAAAAAAAGGGCGTCCTTCGCCATGCAGGGCAGGGCCACGCTTGTAGCTTTCTGTCGGCGGCGAGCCTTAGGAGGAGGGGGAAGTGTGAAGGATCAGGCCTTCGCAGAAGGCGGCCGGACTGCCATGCGCCTTCCTGAGAAGCCGTTTTTTTAGCGTCTCCGGGAAAGGCTTAATTTGAAAACTGTTCAGAAGGCTGCAGGCGTCCCGAGCCTTCTGAGAAGGCCCGCCCCCTCACGGTGGAGACCCATGCCAAGGAACGCCTTGCTTGCTTCGAGGGTGCCCTGAGTTTCTTGGGTTTCGACGGTTTTGCCACTGAAAGCGTGACGCTCCCGCACCAAGAATCAATGGACGTCCTGGGGCCTCAGGGTTGGGTTTCTTGTGGAAGGTTTTCTTGTGGACTCGCCTCCGCCGTGCACTTCCCTCCCGGTGTCGCCTCCACTTTCCTGACCCTTGGCACGCACGCCTCTCGTCGAGCTGCCCGCAGCATGTCCCGCCACCGTGCCAGCGCGGCACTCTGTGCAGCGGCGCTTCGAGCAGTGCCCAGAAGGCTGGAACGTGTGGCGCCTCTAGTCTGAAGTCGGGCCTGTCCTTCTACAGGAGGAGTATGCAAAAATAGTGAAGAAATCGTCATGGGACGACTCTTGTACTATTTTTGGCAATTTTTGGTGTATTTTGTGACTATGTTTAATTTTTCGTCCAATACCCGTCTGTAGGGTCGTTCCTGGGCTTTTGTGGGGCCATCGCGGGGCCCTCCTGGGCCGTCTTGGAACTCATTTTGGCCGCCGGGGGCCCCTCGCTGCCGACTTGGGGGCCTCCTGGGGCTGTGTTGGGGGCCTCCTGAGGCCCTCTCGGCTATTGGACCGTCGCTGTTCCCTCTGGGGCTGACCCGGGCCCCTCTTGGCTCGTTCCCTGGCCCTCTTGAGGCTGCCTCGGGGCTTCTCTTGGAGCCCGCTTTGGCTCCGTTGCCCCCTCCTCTGGCTCCTCCGGTGTCCTCTTGGCGCCATCTGGAGCCGGGAGGCCCCCGAAACGCCCCAGAATCAGAATTCCACAGGATTTCCACTGGTCTTTCAATTGATCTGTGGTTCTCTTTGGTGAAATGAAAACTCCTTGGGCCCCTACAACGCATCTTGGGGTCTTCTTGGGGCTGTTGCGTGCCTCGTGAGGCAATGTTTGATCATGTTGGCGGCCTCGGTGACCTCCCTGGGCCAGGAAGGGGGGTCCCCTTAGCAGGCCTGATGAAACCCATGGCGTTCTACCGCGGTTCAACGTGTCAGTTGGTCAAGGTGAAGGATTGTAGCCACATCGGTGGTGCACCATACGCGCCCACCCACCCAATCAGAAAGCTCTGACCTCCCGCAGCCCTTCGTATCGTAAGGCTTCGCTGTCATACCAGATCTTAGTTTGGCCGTCACCCCAGACGGCGCGTCGCCAGCTTCGACAACTCCCTCACTTTCAAATCCGCACTCTGGACGAGATGCTCCTGGGTATCGGCAGAGCAAATGCCGACGGCATAATGAAGCAAGTAGACACTGGCAAGGTACGGTGGAGAGCCGCGTGATACGAACAAGGACGAGTTCTAGTCGGAGCGGGTGTTGGCGCAGCATGAATGGCACCAGCGGCTGACCAAACGTCGGTCGACGTTGTTATTGACCATGCGTTTTCCATCGAAGTCGGGTTGGATTGTGATCGCGATGGAGCTCGTTGTTGTCAGCTGGTGCTCGCAAGTGCGGGCTCGCTGAGACTGTTTGCCAGTTGTTTTTTTGGGGCCGTGGCATGGGCGACGCAGTGTCCTGGGTTAGGGCCAGGCTTTTGGGCCTGTGCCAGTAGGATCGGGGGAGGGTTCGATTCTGCGGAGATCTTTGTTGCCACGGGCACTGGTGTCGAGAGGTGGTAGGGTAGCTGGCGTGATCCGTCTGAAGTGCAGGGCTGCCTGCGCGCGGCCGCCGGGGAGAGCGCGCAAAAGGCATCCGGCCCAACCTTCCACCGTCTGTAAGAAGCCCGAGTACCTCTGTGCCTCATTGGGAGGTCTCCGGGAGGCCTGTTCGGAACCTCATGAGGGGGCATCCTGTGGCCCTACTGGCAGCGTCGGGGGCCACTCTTCGGCGAAACTCTCCCGGATCATTTCGGGCGGCGCCCCCTCGGGATCGCGGGGGGCCTCTGGGGGGCCCTCTGGGCCCCTCGGGGGGGGGGGGGGTCCGTGCTGTTCTCGATGTTCCTCGGGTTCCTCGCGGTCGTTGTGGCGCTCGCGGCGGTGTTCTGGCGTATCGCGGTCGTCTTCGTGGCGCTCGTGGAGGTGTCCCGGGATGTAGGGGTGAATTTGTTGAGGTCGAAAAAACTTCGGGGGGGGGCTTCCGGAAGGCGCAGATCGTGGAGCAAACAGTTCCGTTCAATGTGTTGCCGCCGTGGGCCGCCCGCCCCCCCTTTGGCTTGCACAACTGCCCGACAGGTTTTCGAGAGAATTCTAGGACGGATCCCTGGCACCATCGCATGGTGGGCCTGTTTTCCACCACCGCCACCATAAGTTTGAGGGGGGAGGGGGTCCTCCTCCCCCTCTTTTTCTTCTTCTTCTTCTTCTTCTACTTCTTCCTCTTGTTATTTTTCTTCTGTGTCTTCTTCTTCTTCTTCCTCCTCGCCCTCCACCTCGTTCCCCCCTCCAACTTATGGTGGTGGTGGTGGAAAACAGGCCCATCATCGCAGGGCGCGCTCGTGGTTCAGACGCCGACGACGCCTCCTGGACTTTTTGGGGAAGTCATGCGGGGAGTTCCGGGAGCGCCCACGAGCATCGCAGGTTTGGGACGCGGGGCGCACGCGAAATTTTGTCATTAGTTTCTGGGGAAGGTTTCCCCAGCGCGTTACGGCGGGACACGATGCCAGGACACTGCGAGTGGACACCACCAATGCACCATCGGAGCACCATCATGACACCACGGGGCACGTCGGGACACCGCAGGAGACCATGGGGACACTACGGCGGGACACCAATCATGACGCCACCGGGACATCACCGGGACACCATCGGGACGGCGTCGGGACACCATCGGGACAGCGTCGGGACACCACGGAACACCACAGGACAACATCGGGACACTACGTCGGGTCAGTTTCGGCCACCGCCAGACAACCCGCGGGGGGCGGCTTTTAGGCCGAGCGGCGCTTTGCGGCGTTCTAGCCAGAGGAGGGTTCATTGCTCTCGCCCGCCCACGTAGCTTCGTCTCGCACGCACGACACGAACATTAAACCGAAACCGATTTTCCTGTAAAAGGGGTTTCCGCTTTATTTCGATCGCAGCCCCAACATCCGATTGAAAACGCCAACGGCGAATCACCGCCGCCCCCTGCCATTTAGGATAGCGCCTGTGTGGCCATGGTTGGGCAAAGTTTGGCCACGCTATTGGACCATGCGTTCCCCCAACCGTTGTGGAAACTTTTCGGGGAGCATGTGGGGGAGGAAACAGGAAGACGATGAAAAGGAGGGAACAGGAGTACGAAGAGAAGGATGAGGGGACCTCATGGGAACTTTTTGGGTCATTCTTGGGGCTTTTTGGGAACTTTTTTGGGGGCCTCTTGGAGGCTTATTGGGGGCCTTTGGGGGGGTTCATGGGGGCTTTTGGGGTCTTTTTGGGGCTTCCGTGGCCGTTTTACGGCCTTCCTGACCCGCCTGACGCCGTCGGAAGCCATCTTGGGAGCGTCGCCTCGTTGGGCCGTTTTGGGGCCATTTTGGGGCGCCTCAAGGTCGTCTTGAAAGCCATCTTGGGCGTTTCGGAGGCCTCGTGGATCGCCTTGGAGCCCCTTTCTTGGGCCGTCCTGAGGCAAGATTGGAGGCCGTTGTGGCGATCTTGGGGCAATATTGGGGACCTTTGTGGGCCATTGGAAGGACGTTTTGAAGCAAACGCCAAATTTATTCAACAATGCAATGCAAATCAAAGGTTTGGGCCTCTTACGGCATTCCTGGAGGACCTCTTGGGGGCCTCTTGGGCCGTCTTCTGGGTCTTGGGCGTTTTTTGGGCCGTCTCGTGGTCTCTTGGACCATCTTGGTTGTCTTGGAGGAGTACTGGGACCGTTTTGGAGGCCATCTTGGGCCTATCTTGGCCTTCTTGGGACCACCTCGTCCATCTTAGAGGCCATCTTAGCCGTGTGGGAGGCCATTTTGGAGCCGTTTCGGAATCACAGAAAGACGCTCCCTGCATTTTCCCGGGTGGCCGGCGGGTTGGGCCGAAACCCAAGGGGGATTTTGTGAACCAAAGAAACCATATTTCCAGCACGCCAGGCACCCCTTCGATAAATCAACGGGGGGCGATGGATCTGGTGGCCTGCGGCCCATCCCGCCACCGCGCCTGGGTTGTAGGTCAGAGGCCTCGCTGATGCCTGTGAGGATCTCTTGGGCGGCCTCTCGGATGCCTCATGGAGGCGGTTTTGGAGGGAGGTGTCTTGGGGCGTCTTGGGGGCCTCTTGGGGCCTGGTTTGGGTCTCTTGGGGCCTATTGAGCGCACCTCCGGGGCTTCTGGGGGGGCCATCTAGGGGCGGAGGGCTCACACGTCAGTTCGTGTGCCCCATTCTGGGCTCCTTTGGTGCCGTCTTGGGGCCCCTTTGGGGCCCCTCTTGGGGGTTCTAGGGCCGTTTGGGGGCGCCTCTTCGGCCGTCTTTGCCGCGCTGAGGGCCGAAAAAGCGGTGATGCGAACACCATACAAACGCTTATGACTTTTGTTTGACGATTGGGGCCTCTGCGGCCGCACTCTTCCAGGGCCTTCAAGACGGCCCAGAAGACTCGCCCAAGAGAGGGCTCTGGGGCGGTACACTCGGCCATCTGGCACCATGTTGGACGTGCGTGTCCCGCACACCGTGTCCTTTTGGGCCTTGAGGGGGGGTCACGCGGGGACCCCCCGAGAGCGCCCGGGGAGCGCCCGGGGAGCGCCCGGGGAGCGCCTGGAGCTCCAGGCGGTGGGCCTCTGTGAGAACATCTGCGCAACTCAAGACAGAGAACTCGAGGGCTCCTGAGGACACTCCAACTCGCGCCTCAGGGCACGGTGGCGGACATGTGTGCATATATATATATATATCAATATACACCAACAGATACATATATATGGCTACAGATAAGCATATCCACGTACATACGTTGCAGTGCCCCTCGATCGGGCTGTGCGATCTGCTCCGTTTTATAGGATTGTGCTCCTTTAAAAAATGTTTCAGGCAAGCCCTCGGGAGGGGCATCTCGGCGATGAGGAGAGAACCCTCCGACTGCAGAGCATCAGGCTGCATTATCATCAGTGGTCATCCGCGCTGACTGGCCGTGTTGGCTGTAAGGGACGATCGAAGAACTTCTGGATACTTCAAGCGCAGCTGGTGCCCCGTCGAAGCTGATTCGGACGTCGCTCGCATTCCTCCGCATCGTTTCTTCTTCTCCCCTCCCTGCATGCCTCCTCCATCATTCATCCTCCATCCATCTTCTCCAATCCGTTCTACCATCTCTCTCCTCCCTCCCTCCCGCCCTTCCCCCTCTTCCCCCTCTTCGCCGCCGGGCAGGGCAGCCGTAGAAGTTCAGTCGGCGCTGGCGTGTCGGGTATCTCCGCCCTTGCGGGTCCATCGAGGCCCCCAGACTCTCTCTCTCTCTCTCTCTCTCTCTCCCGCCTCGAGTTGCAGAGCTCAGCCGCCCCCCCCCCCGAGTGGATCGCTTCCCTGGAGGGTCGGTGCCAAGGTGATGGTGGCCGCTCCGTGCGGCAAGCGGGAGTTCTACGTTGAGTCTCAGGACGGAGACCCCAGGGGAGGGGACTCGGGCTCAAAGGCTCAGCATCGATCTCCCATCCCTCCTTGCCATCCTTCTCCCCTCCCCACGGGGCCGTGGGAGTCGGAGGAACAGGAGCAGGAGGACCAGGAGGAGGAGGAGAAGGAGGAGGAGGAAGAGGAAGACGAAGAGGAGGAGGAGGAGGAGGAGGAGGAGGAGGAGGAGGAGGAGGAGGAGGAGGAGGAGGAGGGGGAGGGGGAAGAGGAGAGGGGGAGGAGGGGGAGGAGGAGGAGGAGGAGGAGGAGGAGGAGGAGGAGGAGGAGGATTTTTTTGTATGCTGCTACAGACAGGAGGAGGAGGAGGAGGAGGAGGAGGAGGAAGGAGGAGGAGGGGGAGGAGGAGGAGGAGGGGGAGGGGGAGGAGGGGGAGGAGGGAGGAGGAGGAGGGGAGGAGGGGCAGGGGGAAGAGGAGGAGGAGAGGGGGAGGAGGAGGAGGAGGAGGGGAGGAGGAGGAGGAGGAGGAGGAGGAGGAGGAGGAGGAGGAGGAGGAGGAGGAGGAGGAGGAGGAGGGGGAGGAGGAGGAGGAGGAGGAGGAGGAGGAGGAGGAGGAGGAAGAAGAGGAGGAGCAGGATGAGGAGAAGGAGGAGGAGGAGGAGGAGACCAGGAGGAGGAGGAGGAGGGGGAGGGGGAGGAGGAGGAGGAGGAGGAGGAGGCGGAGGAGGACCGCTCCGATGACCAGTGGTAAGTTTCCAAAAACCGAAGGCCTCCCATTGTGGGATGGTTGAGAATGGGCCTCAAACTAGGCCCTTCATGAATTTCTTGTCCAGAAAATTCTGACCAGAGGGAGTGCGCGCCTGGCACTCCTTTAACAAGTTCTGACTGCTGCGGGTGGCGTGGGACCCGCAGCTCAAACACAGGAAAGTCCTTCTTTTTGTGACCACCATCTCGTGCGACGGGTGCAGGAACGAGGCCCCGAGAAACGCCCCGCGCACAGATTTCACGCCGTGGACGGGTCCAGACCAGGGCTCGGCGGGCACACAGGGGGTTCTCAGAAATTCTTGTGAGGGCTTTGCCCCGTGCGAATTGATCGAGACCACCGACAAACACCTCACACATTGAAATCTATTACCAGCTTCGACATGCTGCATCTCATGACTACTGTCCGCCATGAGCTTGGCCATCTTTGGGCCGAGCATCTGCTTGGGACCAGGGGCCTTGGGTTTCGGCTTCGGCTTGGGCCGAGGCCGCCGTGGGATCCTGGGGCCCACATCCTGAGACTGCTCGGCATACCTACTTAGGAAAACGTCGGTGGCTCGATTCCTTATACTCTTAAAGCGAGTCCGAGCTCTACAGCTTCGACCTCACCTGGGGATAACTGGTGCATGCTCACTACATCGTCTGCTAGCTTGTCCGCTAAATAATTGCCGACAAACGCGAAAACCGACGTGCCTTTCAGAGCCGCTCTCTCAGCAGACATATGTGATTCGATCTTCAAGACACTGATCGACCGTCGAACGACTGCAGCACGGACTCTCTTCGATTCGTTTTTGCACGTATCAGGGAACATACCGTTCTGAACTTTCAGGAAACCTTGGGAAACATACGAACTGTCGGTGACGTAGATCAGGTATGGGGCCCACAGGGGAGTCCTCCAGGAATCTCAAGAAGGCTAACATCTCCCCGTGATTTACAGTCTGCTCGTTCCAGACTGCTCCTGAAACTTGCCTGGCCACTTCGAGTCGTGGTTCCAGCTCGGAGATGTCGAACTGCTTGAACACTATGTAGGCCCAAGCGACTCTCCGAAACATATCCGATGACGAGTGCTTCCCGCCAGACGCGTCACCCGCTCCCACCAGGATGCCTGAGGAGACTGGAAATTCGCCGTGTGCGTGAAACTCGTCGTCGCCCTCAGACGGTGGGGGGGTCATTGATGTCCAGGCAGCAGGCGTGACACCTCTCAGCCATAAGGACGGCTGGGCCTCGTGCTGTGTGTAAGCGCGGGGCAGCAGAAAGTCGGTCGATACGACCGCGGGCAGCTCCTTGTTGCATCGACACCCCCATATCCTGTGAAAGTTGTTCTCCTTCTCCTCCCCACATCTGTCGCACAACTCCGAATAATCCTCAGGCAATTGACATACCTGCTTGATGCGGGTGCGGGGCCACCGGCCTCCTGTGGAAACTGTGAGCAGAGATCCTGCCCAAGCGTACTGGTCGGCTGCTCTAGCAGCCTTCAACTGCCTGCGTATGTCTTCAAGGTGCACCCCTGCTGCTACGTCTTCGCTCTCGTGATGGCTTGCTGTTTTCCTCCAAATCCTCCTCCTGACCGAACTGGCGAGCTCCCGCTTGAGATCGCTTATGTCGAAAACCTTTGATTCCAGTATCTCCTCCGTCGCCAAAAACTGCTCTTTTTGGTCCGAGGTCCAGTCCCAAGGCCCCGTGGGGCCCCAATTGAGGTCCAAGAGAGTATTGATGATGGCCCTCGCGGGCCCAGTAACTTTCCTCCAGCGATAATGTGGTCGAGCTCGAGCTCGCGCGAGCAGGAGGAGGAGGAGGAGGAGGAGGAGGAGGAGGAGGAGGAGGAAGAGGAGGAGGAGGAGGAGGAGGAGGAGGAGGAGGAGGACGAGGAGGAGGAGGAGGAGGAGGAGGAGGAGGAGGAGGAGGAGGAGGAGGAGGGGAGGGGGAGGAGGAGGGAGGAGTGGAGGAGGTGGAGGGGAACCATGAGGAGGAGACCAGGAGGAGGAGGAGGAGGAGGGAGGAGGAGGAGGATGAGGAGGGAGGAGGGGGAGGAGGAGGAGGAGGAGGAGGAAGAGGAGGAGGAGCAGGAGGAGGGGGAGGGGAGGTGGAGGTGGAGGAGGAGGAGGAGGAGGAGGGAGAAGGAGGAGGAGGAGGAGGAGGAGGACGAGGACCGTGAGGAGGAGGAGGAGGAGGAGGAGGAGGAGGAGGAGGAGGAGGAGGAGGAGGTGAGGAGGGTGAGGAGGAGGAGGGGGAGGAGGAGAAGGAGGAGCTTCAGCCTGCATCGCACCACGCTGCCCCAAGGGCACCCGTCGGGGAGAAGGGGGGCATGGGGAGCGTCAGGTGCGGCCGGTCCGTGGCGCGTCGCCGTTGGAGCCTGCCGATATGCTGTAGACCTCCTGCGTTGTCGGGCAGCCGCGGTTGCTCAAGGACGTACGACCCGCGGGGAGGCGCGCGGTCGCCTGCGCGCGCCTGCCTGTGAGGTCAAGGAGCGAGGAGGAACTCCTCCTCCTCCCCCTCCTCCCCCTCCTCCTTCTCCCCCTCTTCCTCCTCCTCCTTCTCCTCCTCCTCCTCCTCCTCCTCCTCCGCCAGCGCAGAAGTCTCCACGGCCCAGTCGGCGGGCCTCGCAGCGCCAGCGGCCCACCTTCCGCACGGCGTGCGGATGTTCGGGCAGGCGGCCGCGCGGCGAGCAGCGCGGCGCGGAGGGAGGAGGAGGCAAATGTGGAGGGGAGGAGGGGGGGAGGATGGCAAGGAGCAGGAGCAGGAGGAGGAGGGGGAGGAGGAGCAGGAGGAGGGAATGAGGAGGGTTGATGAGGAGGGCTGATGAGGATGATGATGACGATTGCGAGAACGGGAACGATGACGATGACGATGCCGATGCCAGTGACGATGACGGTGGGGATAATGATAAGGATGTTGATGATGGTGATAGGATTGATGATGAGGGTGATGATGATGATGATGGTGAATATGCTGATGATGACGATGCTGATGGTGATGATTATGATGTTGATGATGATGGTGATGATGATGGTGATGGTGGTGGTGGTGGTGATGTTAGTGATAAGGATGTTGACGATGATGGTGGTGATGATGATGCTGATGGTGGTGACACTGATGCTGATGCTGCTGATGGTGAAGGAGAAGACTAGGGGGAGGAGGAGCATGTTGATGATGACGAGGACGGGGAGGAGTGGGAATGGCAGCAGGACCATGGCGATGACGATGACTATGCTAATGATGATGCTCATGATGATTATGATGATGCTGATGATGATGCTGATGGTGATGATGTTGATGCGGCTGCTGCTGATGATGATGTTGATGGTACTGGTGATGATGATACTGATGGTGATGAAACTGATGTGATTGATGGTGGTAATGATGGTGGTGATGGTGGTGGTAGTGATGATGATGGTGGTGGTGATGATGGTGGTAATGATGGTTGCGATGATGATAATGAGGAGGATGAGGTGCTGATGATTAGACTGCTGATGCTTATGAGTATGATGATGATGATGATGATGGTGACGATCATTATGATGATGATGCTCATGATGGTGATGGTGATGGTGATTGTGAGGGTGAGGGTGATGATGATAATGCTTGTGATGCTGGTGATGGTGATGGTGACGAGGATGATGATGCTAATCCGGATGATGGTGGTGAAGATTACGATTATTTTGATGATGTGGAAGATGATGAGGATGACAACGATGCTGATGATGATCATGATGCTGATGATGATGATGCTGGTGATCATGATGATGATGCTGATGATGGTGATGATGATGATGATGATGATGATGATGATGATGATGATGATCATGGTGATGGTGTTGATATTGATGCTGATGCTGCAGATGATGATGAAGAAACAGAGGACCAGGGGGGAGGAGGATCATGGAGATGAGGAGGACAAGGAGGAGTGGGAATGGGAGGTGCCGTCTCCTGCCAGCGTCACAGGACGCGGAAGAGAACCCGGCCCTGTTCCTCAGGCACGTGACGGAATGCGTCGAGGCCGAACGCATGTCGCCTGCAGTGAATGGGGGGGTGGGGAGGCAGGAGCCAGAAGATGGGGAGTAGGGAGCAGGGAAAGGGGGGAATGGATGTTAGTGGTGGCAGGAGGGAGGATGAACGAGGCGTGAGCGAGTCAGGGGGTGGCAGAACCCAGAAGGGACGAATGACGAGATGAGGATGAGGAGGGGGCTGGAGGGATGGGTCAGATAAGATACGATAAGACCGATCGCGAAGCGAGTTCAATATTAACTAGGAGGATCTAGCCGCCTTTCCAGCTTTGCTGAGATCTTTGGGCATAAGACCTCGAGAAATACGTTCGAGATAACCTCGCCGTGCTTTGGTAAGTGGGGCTCTAGGGGGGCCTTACACTCATCAGCCAAACCACGGAGCTGCTGTTGGTGGTAGCACCCACACGCCGCGCAATACCACAGAGACAGGGATTCATGATAAAGCATTTGGTGAGACCCATGGACCCACCCTCCAGCGAGATGCAGACGCTTCCCCCGATGAACCCTCAAGACCCCCAAGGACTGGTGCTTGAGCTGGAAACATGCCGATTCGAACAATTCTTTCTTCGCAGCCACAGTCGTGGATCCCTTACAAGCCAAGCATATGTGTCCACACTCCGATACGCGATGGGCGGTGCAAAAAACGGGCCACCGTGGCAGGCGCAGGAGGTGAGACCCTGGGAGGCACACGGGGCCTTCGGGGAGCCTTCCTTGTTTTTCCAGCAAGTGCAGCGGATTCGAGCGTAGCTCGGAGCAACCGTTGGCTGATGAGACGGGCTTCGTGCTCAATCTGCAAAACACGGGCACGCTGGTCCTGCGGGACTCGTGCTCGTGAGGCCGCCTCTCCCGCCAGGTGGTCAACGAAAACATTGCCAGCAATGAGGTGGCCCGCACGGCCACGACTGACGACCTCCTCGCCCGAGACATGAGACGGCACCTTGATCGCTGCAATCTGGCACGGCAGCTTGTGCTGCTGCTGAAGAACTGACCCGACTTCACGCCACAGGTCTGAGTTGTTATTCTGCGGAGAAAGAGGCGCTCCCACCATCCTCTGCACACCTCTTCATTGTCTGTGACAAAGGTCATGAAACCTGCGGGCCGTCCCTAATACCTGGGAGAAAAGCCAGCAGCTCGCCCCTCGGGGCGGTTTGGCGCACTCCTGGAAGCGGTCCAACAACAAAACGTGAATCTGGCCCAGGGGTCTCCCCGACAGCAGACACCGCTAACCCTATCCGACGACGTCGAGGATCTTGTGTGTCGTTGCCGACTGAGGCATCATCATGAAGCAGAATGGGTGCGGACTTGACGGCCTCGCCGAAGAAGTTCTGGTCGAGGTCGTCGTTGTGACTGACCGTCCAGCTCTCCTCGTGCGTGGGTGGGTCCACAGACGTGGGATGTGAGGGGATGAGCCTTCGATACCAGTATCATTCCATGCTGTCACCTTGAGTGAGCGCTTTGTGGCATAACCCTTAGAACACATCAAAAGCTGGTGATCCGCGATTACACCTGCAGGTCCAGAAACGATGTTTTGGCGTCTCTGGTCCATCACCCCAGCGTGCGCACGGTGATGGGATATGGTAACCTGCTTCGGCCTTGCGGGAAGCCGTCCAGGCCCCGCCGACCGCAATCGTGAGCAAGAGGTGAGCCAGCCTTCGGCCGATCCTGGGGATCTGCTCCAACTGGTACAGCTGCTGTCTTATACTGAAGTTGTCGACTCCAGCCTCCATATTTCCTGTGCAAAAATCTTGAAACTGCAGCGTGCTGCCATCGTTTCTGCTGAATGGACCTGGTGAAAGCGTCGAGGAGCTCCACGGCCTAATCACTGGCCTGGAACCCGGTTCCTGCAAAATTCCACCCAGCCTGGTGCCCTGCTGCATCGGCTGCTTGATACCGCAACGTCGGCTCTGGGATGTCCCATCCAGCGTCGAGGAGGTAGCGAATCACGGCCGTGAGAGGACCACGTATATGTCTCGCCCGGTGGCGAGTTTCACGCTGCAGAAAATCCGAAACGATGGCGCTCCAAACTTTCGATATGGGTTTACGAAGCCGAGGCGCTTCCAACCGAACCCGCAACCATTCGGCCGGGCATTGACGGGGCAAAGAATACCCTGGATCTGCGCCAGGAGCCCTGGTATCTACTAAGGCAGTAAGGCGCCGACCTTGCCCGTGGCCTCCTGTGGCGGCGCCTAGGCGCCGACGAAGGTGAGTCAGTGAAGTCGTTGGAAGTCCATGTGTCTGATGTCCGCATCGTGCTCCTGCCTGGGGGCCTGCCAGCTCCACCTTCTGCAAAGCCTTAAATCGCTTGGACGCGAAGGCAAACTTACGGACTCTATTCTGTTGCTTGAGAGTCGCGGCGAATATTTCCCGACGCGTTGCTTGCCCACGCCTCTTGCCACAAGCTAGGTCGATGCCGAGGTGAGAGGGCTGAGGAGCTGCAACCATTGAGATGCCGCGGGCCTTCAACCGCTACGGGCGCCTCGCATATGCGAACGAGCGATGGTGCTCTTCTTTGCAAGCTGAAGGGGGGGCTCGGCGAGCAGATCGTTCGCGGTCGCGATGCCCCTCCGCCAAATCGTTGCAAATAGAGGACCTCGACCCCGCGGCTGTCGGGGAGAGATCATCAATCCAGAGTTGTTGTGACAGCCGTGGGAGGCAAACTGCGAGGCGTGCCATCGCAATGTTGGTGACCACCGTGGCAAACCTCGTGCCGCTCCTGAGTCCTGGAATAAGGTTTCGCGCGCTCTGAAATGGACATGAGACTGTGTCGCCTTGGTCTAAAAGGCGAGTTCCTGCACAAGTTTGCGGTTCGAGTCCCAGCATAACTGGAGAAACCCATCGCGGATTGCCCTTCAGCAAGTATTGACCATTCCATTTCATCGCAGAAAGATTAATATCTCATAATCAGTGCTCATGTGCGGCTTTCATCTTCGCGAGCAGTTCCTCGTCGAGGGCTCTCAGGTAAGCCTCGCGCGGGGCGGAATTACCCGAAATCGCAGCCTCCCAATATGGCTGCCCCGCGCTGGCCCATTCCGCGATGAGAGGTTCCCGCGGGAGTGACCAAAGTCTGCAGATCATACATATGAGGCCGATCACACGGTTGCCCGAACTCTTCAGGGCAACAACCGTCTCAGCTCTGGCATATGTTGCCAGGGCCGCGCCCGGCATTGTTCACGCATGGTGTAGATCAGCAAGTTCGCTGGGCGGTTGCTCTGGTAGTCTCGCGAGGTCGCTCGGGGAGACCCGATCGACCCCATCGGCCAGCCCGAGGTTTCATCCGCCGAACAGCTGCGCGAATATCCTCCGCCGTGCGTGGCGTCGAGGGCCCAGACGCTGCGCGCCGCCGCATGCGTTCAAACAGCCATCGGACTTCTGGCGCTGTCTGTTTGAATCGTGATGTCCACAAGGGGTGCCAGTGGGCTGCCCTGCGATCCACGACGTCCTTGGGTTGGAAAATGGCGCCTTGATCCGAGTTGGCCAAAGCGGGGAACTCCAGGTCGGCAAGAGGTGCATTGTTTCGTAGCTCGAAATAGGACGCCCGTTCTCTCCTGCCCCCCAATCCAATCTCTGAAATCAGCAAGCGAAACCGAAATAGCATGACCACGAGCTCGCTGCGCCACCTGCTTGGCCTCACTAGCGTAGATGTCCAGCAGCTGGTGCGGAATGTCCCTGAGCTCGACAAGAACCGAGAGCCATGACGTCCACTTGGTAGCTTCTGAAGACCTGCCAACCGACTTGCATGCGCAGCTGGGCGGCTGCCCAGCCAACTTGGCCCCCGCCACGGCGAGAGCTTCAGACTGACTAAGCCCGTTCCCACGCCGCGTGCGTTGAGACAATTTATGCAGTGCCACCTGCACGCGCCCCCACCAGTTGGCTGCGACATCATGCAAGGCCATATCTCGCTAGCGTCCACTTTGTCCCACTCGATGCGTGACCAACCTGGGGCCCTGAGCTTGAGCCGGCTTGCCAGAGGTGTCCAGGTCGCGATGAACTTGGCACGTGTATTCCACACTGCTGACCCACGCTGCATATGCACTGCTGACGTGAAGGACGTGGGGCCCGCCAACCTTGAACGCGAGTGATGCCCTTACTGGCCCCCCAACCTGCGAAATGGCTCGATGACAATAACCTGCCTGAGCACGAGGCAATGGCCACAGGTGCGAGGGCGGAGCGAAAGCATGGGCAGCACCAGAGCCCGCGGAGCTGGATGGGGTGGGGGTGTGCTCGTTAAGCTGGGAAGCTCTCTCGCTGGTGGGGTCCTTGTTAGCATCTACAGCTGAAGCGAAATCCGGATCCGTCGAGGCTGGTAGATTCACCTGAGCACCTCCCGACGTGAGAGATGGGAAGGGCGAGGGCGAGGACGAAGAGGAAGAGGTGGAGGGGATCGTGGGCCCAACAAAGCTGGACTCGCCAGCCCACGGATCCACTTCATCTTGGTACAAATCAAAGTGACACCTAGCCATAAGATTGGGATCACCTGGCATCAAGGGAATGCTAGACGGAGCAGTGCCGAGAGCTGGTTGGGGCAAGCTAGAGTTGGCCTCAGGGGGGGCTGAATCGATGCAATCCCCGAAGGAAATCATTGAAATCTGCTTTTCACAAGCAAAGGCTTGGTGGGCAATCTGTTTCGACCGCGCCTGCGATGACCTACACCTGCTCTGCCTGATCCTGTGGCCGGGCAGCTCGAGGCAACCTTTCGGGGAGCACGAGCGAACGAGTGATCAGTTGCTCACCCGAACTCCTGAGCTGCAGCACTAGTCCGCAGCGAGGCTTCCACGGCATCCTGAATCGCCTACACGCCTAATCTGTGCGGCATGGCTGACAGCGAAGCCAGTATGTAATCTATGTGAGACGCACCACTTGTGCTGACGCACGTGCATTCAACAGGGGCTTTCAGCACAGGCGCCCCGATTTTGCCAAGAAGGCCTCCCCGACGAGCCCGACGCGAGCTCAGACGACGGCATGACAACATCTCCGAGCGCCACCCACGGAATA